CAAAACATCTACTGTACTTAAAAACATATTACAGTTTAATTACAAATGTGTAAGTAATAATATCTATTACTGTCAAATGTAAATCTATACGCTGACTGTTACTTAAGTAATTTACGGTAACAGTTTGAGATGCCTAAAAATGGCCAATATGTTTGTTTTTTTGCTTCTTTTAGAATAAAAATTAAAGATGTTTAAATCCATATTACTTGTATTAAACCTTATTACATAAATAGTAGACTGTCCTTCCTAATCCCAATATCTTCCCAACCATCATTCATTTCTAAATAGATGAGATGTTTCTATTTTTCACTGATCCTTCTGATCGTTTCAGTATGGTACAACCCTTTTTGCCTCTGCATTGTTAATATCTACCACCCCTGCTCTGCACGTCTATCTGCCTCTTCATCACATGGAATTCCTATGTTTGTATCAGTGAACTTGTAGTAAACACTGTTTGAACTCGCATTATTTCAAATGTACAAACAACTGAATAAACCATTTAAACATGCGATTCTTCTTGTCTTTGGTTGCATATAAAGACATTAGGTGTCGTATGTTATTGCACCTAATCCTCCCTGTGTGCTGCTCGCCCTGGGCCCTGCCGTGGACCACAACAACACACGGACGCTGGCTGACCGGGCAGCAGACGCTCTCCCCCTCCATCACCGCTGGGTGGCGCTGCAGTCCCAGCGACATGCGGGACGAGCTGCAGAAGCAGAAATCTGCTCTCATCCCTGGAGCCCACAGCACAGCGCGATGGTCGCAGCAGTGGATGCGGACTGTTAAAATAGACTGTCTAACTCATTGAACTACCTCACATAGCGCATGATTTGCGTCCGTCGCAGCTGGGAGAAGATAAAAGAGTTGCTAGGGCCGGCCGCTGAGCTCAGACGACTCTCCGGAGCTCCCACCAACAGTGACCGGGCACCAGGAACAAGGTAGCCATTAGCGAACCTCTAGCGTTAGCTGTGTTAATCGGTGCCACATCATTACTACTGCTTTGTTAAAGCACATAACGTGTTCTTTTCTGCGGTGTAAAGTGAAGCTAACGTTAGGTTGTTTAACGCTACTTCGTTAAGCTTAATACCCGTGATTAGCCTTCCCTTAATGGCGTTGGCTAGCTAGCTCAATGGACTGACAGCCCATCCGTCTAGTGTCGAGGCTCATTCAGAGCTTCACGTAACCTTACGGCTTCTTGGTCATTCACTAGACTGTTCCAATAAGGACTTCTCACATTAGTTAGGCGAGCAACAAGCTGTGTTCAACTTCCCTGCTGGCTACTGGAAGTGTTTCTCTGACGCTCGCCTCGCCGTGTCTTTGACTCCTCAGTGAAGCTACCAGGCTGTATGGCTGAACCAGAGCTGCTGCTGGACTCCAATATCCGACTTTGGGTGGTGTTGCCCATCGTCTTCATCACCTTTCTTGTCGGGGTGATTCGACATTATGTGTCCATTCTTCTTCAAAGTGACAAGAAGTTGACATTAGAACAGGTTTCTGACAGGTACGGTAATCTTCAATGGTCAGATGGAACATAGTGGATTACATAGTTTTTTTTTTTAAATCCCCCACTTGCAATTCATTTGAATTATTTTGTGTTCATCTCCAAATCCAGCCAGGTTCTTATTCGGAGCAGAATTCTCCGAGAAAATGGAAAATACATTCCCAAACAGGTAGGGATTGTGTATTTATATTATTATATTATGCTTTATATTATACAAAACACATGGTCTTTGCATTTATTTGTCACAAACTAGTGTTGAGGACAATGTTACTGAAAACCTCTCTTTGTTTTAGTCTTTTTTGATGAGGAAGTTCTACTTCAATAATCAAGAAGATGGATTTTTCAAGAAGACCAAAAGAAAGGTTGTTCCACCCTCTCCAATGACAGGTACTGCTTTTAAGTGTTTGCCGATGAACAGGATATAATGATACAGTCTTCAGTGTTATAATCCTCAGTGACCTTTACTAAAGAAGCTTATTGAAATAAAAAATGTCTGTGTCATTAAAACAGTTATATATAAGAGTGATATTCCAAGTCAAGTCTTTCCTCGTATGGCTGAAATGCTTCCTTTTGACTCAACTCAAAACAGACTAGAGCGGGGGTAGGCAACCTGAGGCTCTGTCATACATTATGTCCTCACCTGGAGCCTTTTCCAATGTATTTCAGCAAACCTTGACAGCGGTGCCTACTAGTCTTGACTCTGCCTAGTGGAAAAAAGAGAACTTAATTGTGTGTGGGCATATGTTTGCTTTCACCACCAGTGCTGCTGGTTTACCTTTGATTGCATTTTAAGGCTCATATTGTTTTTTTGCGGACAGATTTTTATTTTATTTTTCTAAAATGATAATACTTTTGATAGTAAAGGTTGCTGACCCCTGTCCTGTGTCATCTTATCAGAACTGCCATTCTTTCTTCTCTTTCCTTAAATATTAATGTTATGTCCAGCAGCTAAAGGGAGATGAAATACTATTAAACCAACCTGTATAAATAAAAAATGTCCAGCTCTCAGGTGTTTTGTGCTTCTTTACCACAAGTTATGTTAATGTGACTAATTTACATTTTTATAGAGCAGCAAACTAACAGTATACAGTTATTATTAAAAAGCAAGCAACAGTACATAGCAAGACTTTTATTAAGTGCTTTTTTGTTGCACACTGTCTTTTCACAGATCCCAGCATGCTGACAGACATGATGAAAGGAAATGTCACCAACGTGCTTCCCATGATCCTCATTGGAGGCTGGATCAATTGGACCTTTTCAGGATTTGTAACAAGTAATGTAAAAATTCTATAAGATACTTTTAAAGGTCCAGTGTGTAGGATTTAGTGCTGTCTAGTGCAGAAGTTGCAGATTACAACTAACCGAATACCACTTGCCTTAAGTGTGTAGAAGAAACTACTGTGGCTACAAAAAATGTGAAAGGCCCCATCTAGAGCCAGTGTTTTGATTTCAGAACAGTTCTGGGCTACTGTAGTAACAGCGGTTCAACATGGCAGACCTCGTAGAAGAGGACCTGCTCTCTGTAGTTAAAAATGGTTCATTCTAACTAAGGCAACGTACCAATTTGTGTTCATTATTAGGTGATGACTAATAAATGCATACCATATGAATATTATATTCCATTT